GAAGTTTACACTGCAGCTGAGACCCTAAACCCTAAGCCTTAAACCTCAAACCATGAACCCAAGCCTAAACTGAAAAGGCGGACAGGGGACAAGGGTTTAGGGCTTAACAATAAGGTGCAACTTAAGTTCTCAGAGCTACTCTCAAAGTACACCGCCCCAAGGCCTACCGAGCCTAACGCCTCAAAGGGTTTAGGGTTTAGGGTGTATAGGGTGTACAGGGTTTAGGGTTTAGGGTGGATAGGGCGTACAGGGTTTAGGGTTTAGGGTGTATAGGGTGTATAGGGTGTACAGGGTTTAGGGTTTAGGGTTTAGATCTCACACCACTATGAACAGTACATCACTACTTCCGATGTTTACGTCTTTTTGTGTTGCTTGGAGCACGAAGCTTGTCACACTACTATTGAGCCCTCAGCCCTAAAAGGTATGCCCCGCGAGCATTTTGAACGTCTGATCCCTGTCCCAAGCCCTCAACCCTGAAACCCAACCCTAAACTGGGTTGCTGTTAAGGACCTCAATTCAAGTTACTATATTGGGGAAACCATTTTAAATTACTATATATACCCATTATGGTAACTTAATCCAAGTTCCTTAACGTCAATCCAGTATATCCTAAACCCAAGGCCCTGCCCAACCTCGCCCACTGTGATCGCCAGGCTTTTCAAACGGCAGAAACCCCTGGTGGTTGGGTCGTTGGCGACGTGAGACAGGGTAGACCTGTGCTCTTTCAGAGTTTAAGGGTCCGGGGCCGGGGATTTCAGGTAGTTTCCATTTTCTTTTCCATTATCCTAATATAACCCTGATATAACCCCAATATAACCCTAATATAGCCCTAATTTAATCCCAATATAACCCTAATATAACCCTAATTTTTAGGGGGTAGAGATTAGAGATCTGGGTTCAAGGTCTACGGCTGAGAAGTTCAGGTTGGGATTTAGGGTTTAGGGTTTAGGGTTTAGGGTGTAGGGTGGGGTTTAGAGTTGAAGTAGGGTTTGGGGGTGCAGGGCTTAGGGTTTAGGGTTTGGGGCTTCATGCCTGAGAAGTGGTGGCAATGGTAGAATACATGGGGGTGTCTCAAAATTCGGGTACCTCAAAAGGGGTTTAATAGGGGATGTATAGGGCTATATAGGGTTTTAGGGATTTGGGTTTCCCAAAATTAAGGGTACTTTTGGGGGGAGGGGGTGGGCCCAAGAGTTAAGTTTTTTGTAGGTTGGGGTCTATATTGGGCCACTTCATTCCATTCGGTACTCAGACAGCACCAAGGATAACAAGGAGATGGAGAAGGTAACTAGCACAAGAAGATTAAATGGTATGTAGCAATCGCGAACAGGAAAGGTAGGGTTTAGGCTTTGGAGCTTGAAGCACTGAAGCACGACGGCGCATGATGTGATACTGCGACAAAGGCGACTAATTGCACTCATGGATGCTTTCAGAGCTGAGGACATAAGAGCGGTCCTAAACCCTAAACCCTAAATCCCAAACGTTAGGGACAAAGCACCTCTCGGAGGGCCACTGCGGCTGTTGGTTTAAAGGGGGAGAAACTGCAAGTGGGTGGAACTATTTGGGTATATGAGCTCTAGCCTAAACTCCCAGTATCCCCCTTAATGAGCCTATAATACTGCCCTATGTAATCACCGTAATCACCTATATAACCCCTTTTAAGGAGCTTAAACTACAGCTCATGTTGCGAACCATGACAACCGAAATCCTAAACACTTAAGCCCTAAACCCTAAACCCCTATAATCCCTAGACCCTAAACCCAAAACCCTTGACCCCTAAACCCT